AAAGGTTCTAAGAGGAGCCCTGTGGTGATGGAAAGGGGTGGGTCGGCTTTGGGGGGCAGGCAGAAATGATTCTGGATATCAACATAATTTCCCACTCCCCTCTGCTCCCACAAGAGCTACTAAGAACAGCATAGGAGGAAATTCATCTCTAAATAAAATATTTAAATAAATGGGAGACAGTTTGCCATCTCTTTCTCTGCCCCGTGTTCATTTCTGCCACTATTCCTTTCTCCTCCCAGAAAACTAGAGCTAGTTTTAGCTCATTTACATGTCTTAGCCTCTGAGAAGCCTGAGCTAGCAAGTGAAGGTTGAAGTGGTAGTTCCTTTGTGCTAATGAACTAACAATTTAAACTTCAGTAATTTTTTAGACAGACTCCAAAGTAGTTAGGGGGTGTGGGGGCGGGTGGGAGGGCAGGTGTCTTCTATTCTCCATCTTCCTTGCCATCCTTAATGTTTGGTTCTGAAGATTTTATATTTTGGTTTCCAAAACACAAATAAAAACCTAAAGGATCAACATAAATAAAACTTTATTTTTAATAATAAAATTAATGTTTCTAGTAAGGAAAAGATAGTGTGTCATTCCTTTAGCAGTACAAACAATCTTTTATCCAAAAGAATACATTGGGTTTTATTGTGTCATTTGTCTGGATACAGACTCAGTGGAATATCTAAATGATACCCTGCTCTGAACTCCAAGTTGAAAGTAAGTTTTTATTATACTTGAGGGAAACAATGGGTTCAGCTGCTTATTGCAAGGAGCAATTGCCAAGGGAGAGTTAAACTCAATTACTGTAACCATACTGAATAAAAAATACTGCCAAGAACAAAAATACGCCTGGGTAAAGACAGCCACTGAATAAAAAAAAATCGACATAAAGCGTATCAAATATTTATTTATCTGGGCAACAAAGGACTATGATACATTGACAGGCATGGAAACTACTGCCGGCACAACTCAATACAATACAACTAGAACTGTTTCCAAAATGGCCAGTGAAAATACAGAATGCCAGGTGGTCCCACATGTTTGAAGTTCTCTGAACAAAAAGAGAGAAAGAGGAAAAAATATCCCTAACCCTTGGTTTAAAGACAATACTCGTTTATTGCTCAAATGATGCTTTTAAGGGAGGATGGTGGAATGAAATTAACTTTTTCCCCTCCCCCTAATACACAGAAGGGTTATGAAACCACTCAAGTTTAAAAATCTTTCCCAGGTCCAATATCAATTTTTTTTTCCATTCAATGAAAAGCTAAATGTAATTCTAATTGTATATAAAATTTTACTTTACTTGCTTTTTACTCGTTCAGCTGTTTCATTGTCATCTTTAACATGCTAAATTCATGAATCCCAGAGGAAAAAGGAATCCCCCCAAACCTTGAATTTCTAAATAAGTACCATGAACCACATGAAGAACTAATAGGGAAGATTCAAAACCCACTAAACAAGAGGTAAACGAGATCACCAGATAAATAAAAAAAAAAGGCTTAAAACAGACTCACCATATTTACACTTCCCATTAAATTACACATAAATAAATATATACAGAGACATGAACACTGATTCCCTTATATAACTGAATCGTGTTGCCAGAGAAAGTTCAAGTTGGTCGCTTTACCTTGAAGAGGAAAAACGTCTACAACTGAGACATGACATGGAACTTCGTGTATTTGTGTTCAAGTTTATTCACAATACTGATAAAAATGTCATTATCCTTTTGCCTTTTTTAAGTATGGCTTCAATCTGAACCGATGTATGTAAGAGAGGGTGGTGATTCAGTCCCATGAAGCTCATATAATTTTTTTTTTTAATTTTTGCGTTCTTTTTTTTAGAAAAAAAAGTTTTAAGTTTTTGTTGTTGCCATTGTTGCTGTGTGGGGGTTTTTATTTACTTTTTAAAAAAAAGAGTTCACAAACTCCGACAGAACTTTTCTTTGCTGGCTTCACGGCCTGTTCTGTTCTTAGGCTCCACATGAGGGCAGTGGGTCGATGCTGATGGGGAAGTTGAGGCAGGGCCTGAGTCAGCAGGGGCTGCCCCGCTGACAGTGCAGATCCCCAGACTCCCAGACGGGAGGACTGGAGGCGGCGGCGGCGGCG